TGATGAGAATGCTGATTTGAAAGGGGGAAAGAATGTTATTGTTCCGAGATCCTGTTTAGGGTGAATAAGGCATGTAGGTCCATTCAAGGGAAAGAATGTAAACAAAATAATGTTCGCAAAAAGCAACTGAGTGGTCTTTTGTGTGGGAACAGCAGCAGTCTATGTACAAAGACAAGGCCATCCAAACTCTGTACAGTGACAAAGTTATTCAAAGTATGTACAATGACCATCATAGGAAATATTTTATTTTTAGTGCACCTAAATGCCGCATGGGTAGAAACGCTGTACCCGCTGAAAATTTAAGTTTTAAACACGTAAACGCCGCGGCGTTTCTTCCGGAAATTATGATATCTATATAGATCTATCTATGCTAAATTATACCTCTAGAACAATTATTCCATAACTGAACCAAGACTATTAACCATCAATTTATCTACTGAACTAAATTATTTAATTTTCAATAAACAAATCAATCAAACATTTTTAATATTTATTTTTAAAAGTAAAATTATTTCTGGTAAAAATGTCAATCATTTCTGAACTTCAATTTTTATTTTTTCCCAACGAAATATATGATACAGATTTAATTTTGAAGTTATGATATACTCTAAATTATTCATCAAGTTTTTAAGCTATTGACAGTAAGTTTTCTTCATTGCCAGTTTCTGAAGCTAGTACCATTAAAAAAAATCATTTTTAAAGTGGCATTAAGTTTTTACTTATGAAGTTTTGCAATAGGTCACATTTATTCTGAAATGGGGGGGAGCGATTAAAAATTAAAAAATGAAGTGACGGTACGATGTCATCTGTTACAACACTAATGTTGAAACAATTTTTGGTATTTTACAGCAGCTACCCTGAGGAATCACTAGGAATCTCAGTATCGATGATAGCGAGCTCATGTCTCGACTGATTGCTACATACAAGCAACTGAACAGATCTAGAAACAGGTGAATCTCCCAGTATAAATTTGTACTGGGTAGTCTGAAAATTCATGATACATTTTTGTTCTTTAAAGGTCTGTTCTTTAAAAAAAAAAAAAAAAGAGCAGTTGATAGTACATTGCCCATTTTATTCCATAAATGTTTTCTTTTACATTAATGAGCTTCGCTAATCATCATTCTCACAAAAGAACCTAGCATTATTTGGGGGAAAGGTGAACAAGCTGCTGATTTATGGCTTCATCTGAATTGAATGTTATACTATGAAAGAAATTTTGAAGAAAGCGAAGCAAGTGAAAATTTTAAGGCACAAGATTAAGCGAATATGATGCACATGGCAACACTTTTCATGCAAAATCCAATAATTTTTGTCAGGTGATCAAACTTGTACGTGGTTTTGCGTTATCAGGATGGAATGCAGTTCCTATATGATTAATGAGCTCTGGAAGTTTCTGGAAGATAGATTCCTTGAAACTGTCCAGTTGGTGACAGCAAACATTAGATATTATTTTTTGGCTAGTTGGTAGGAGCTTGGAATCAAGACCACACACAAGTTTTGTTCACCGACAAAAATTCTTGGAGTATGGATGAAAAGTGCTGCCACGTGTAACATACTCGCATGACCTTGTGCTATCATATTTTCACTTGTTTCACTCTCTTCAAAATTTCCTTTACGGTACACCATTCAAATCAAATGAGACTGTTCAATTTTTACTTACTGATAAACTTTATTGGTTCTTATAACATCATTAGATGTAAAAAAAACACAACATCTTGGGGGGTCATAATGCAAACTATAAGGAAATCTAACAGCGGCTACATGTTTTTTCTATTGCATGCATTCTTTCAACTGAAATATTATCCCTATCATGTGATATGCAAAAAAAATGAAGATGGATTGCTATATTCAGTCTTCGGAGCTTTAAAACATAGAGACTGCGTTAATAGTGTATTTATGTTTTGTATTCCACTGTTAACAATTTATCAATTTAAGTACCCACTTTATTTGGCCTTAAAAGATAGCTGTTAGTGTAATTTTTGTTTTAGAGCTGGTGACTTAAAAAAGGTACTCTAAAGCATTCTACTGCAAAACTTAACTCTTCTGCTACAAATAAAGATGCTAAATAATGAGAGTGAAATTAAACTGCCCTGCAATTAGTGCTTTTACAGGTAATAAACCCAGAGCAGTTACTACAAAATTTAGGAAATATGATGAAAATTAAAATTCTTTAATTAGATATCTTAGTTATTTGTGTTTAGGATTCAAGAGCAATAATGGTAATCTTCAGCATGTTCTATGTAGCAAAGTTCTCCCAAACACCTTTATGGCTTCAGCTAAAATTTGTCAATTGGAAACTATTCATGCCAAATTTAAAGAAAAAAAAAAGTTATTTTAAAGTGACAAACTGTTAAAATAAAAATGGTTTATGGTTCAAACCACAAAGCCGGTGAATGAAAAAGCAGCTGAGGCTCATTACTCAGCTATTAGATGATCAACAAAGTGAAGCCTATGTGGAAATGGAATTGTGAAAAGTCTTATAAAACCTCCTGTTATGAAGATTGTAGTATGTTAGATGAAAAAACAGCAAATGAAATAGCTTAGATCCAAGAATGACATGGTGGCTCAGCACATCAGAGATTCAACCACCAATATAAAGAATAAACTTACTTTTCTTCTGAAATCATGCAAATATTCATTACAAATGGATGAATCTACGAATATAGCTGGACTTGCAATATTAATTTTCATAGTCAAGTGTCAGCACAAAATGCATTATTGCAGGATCTTCTGTTATGCAAATCTCTACCAACACTCGCTACTGGAGTGGATCTGGTCACCTAAATTCTTTTCTTGAAGATAATAAAATACCATGAGACAACTGCATTGATATCTGTACCAATGAAGCAAATTCATGAGAGGCATAATTAATGGGGCTGTATAGCCTGTTAAACTGTTAAAAATATAGCCCAGAACTGTTCTAGTAATCATTGCATAATTAGGCCATTGCTGCATTAAATTATCCCCCAGTTATAAGATTAGTCTTGATGGGGTTGTCAAAGCCATTAACTTAGTCATTAATGTCAGCTACCAAATGATTGCTTATTCAAAACAGTAAGTGAGGACATGGGAACTACACACATATGTGTTCTTTTATGTACTGAAGTCAGATGGTTATATCAAGGAAAGATACTGACCCCCCCTTTTTTTAGCTACGGGACACAATGAGTACTCTTTCTTCTTTTTGTTTTTAAGAACATAATTTTGAATAGAAAAGTTGCTTATTTCACAGAAATCAGCCACTTAAAATTGCCTTAACTTCCTAAAGCCGGCAGTATAGCAGTTGTACCAGGAAAATGACTTTAACACCGGCTGTGGTACAGCTATCGTATCAGCCATCCCCTCCCTATTTTAGAGAATTGCCTATGTGTAGATCTCTGGGTGGTCCATTGTCGCTCTATAGCCGCTGGCTATGCATCGTTTCCCTCTTCTTATAAGTTTGGCTACATTTTGGAAAAAACTGCAGGTTTCGTCTCACGCCAATATACTTGAAAATCAAATAGAAGTCACCTCTTTCTCAAATGTTAGAGCACTGTCTCAGAATTTTAGTACTAACTTTTGCTGGTACTTTAAAACATCAGCGATTTTGCATGCTGTTTAAGCTTACCAGATTTAATGCTTTTTAATCATAGCAAATACGATTAGATTAATATTTTAGATTTAATGCCCTTCTAGAAAATAGATAAAACTGCTTTTGCCGTTTACTTCCTTTTTATACTTATAAATAATAAGATGTTATTTTAACCTCTTTTTTTTTTTTTTTTTTTTTTTTTTTTTTTGGAGTGCATAAAACCCTTAAGAACTGTTAACTCTTTCAAAGTGCTTCTATTATGTAGGCAATTTTGTCTGTTTTATCAGGAGATAAATAAAAGACAACTGCATGCATAATAGTTTTTGTGATTTTCATTCATTCAATGACTGCTTTGAATGATTTTCATTCATTGTAAATTAAATAAAACTAATTTATCTTTAGACACTCTTTTAGGTATTCAGTACCAAAAAGTATTTAAATATTAAAGCTCACATAACTTCTACTAAATTGAATCAAAACATCAGTTACTTTGCATAAAATTTCGGCCAGTTTTATTTGCTGAAATTTTTATACTTCTCAAGAGATAAAGGATATTCAGACATTAAGTTAATAAAAAATTTATCTTTAAAAAAGGAATGTTATTTGTCTGTAATAAGGTGCAAGTCAACTTACTATTAAATGTATGAGAATTAGGATCGGATTATGGAAAAGCAGGTGTATGCTATCTGCTTAAGGGGATGAATGCTTTTGTGTAAAACTTTTTAAGAGAAAATTGCTCGCATTTACATTCCTGATGGAAAACTCCACATGCAATCAACCTGTTCTCTGGGTTTGATTGGATTAATTTTGTTCGCTTACTGAATTACATCAAAGCACACAACAATTACCTGTATAAAGGGAGGAATGCCTTCGCGGAGGGATTTCTAAGAGAAGCTGGCTTATATTTACATTACACAAAAAACATGAATTAAACCCTTTAGCTGGGATTAAAACTCGAGCAAACTACAAGTGTTCAGCCACCTTTACTGCTCTACTGAAGGGCCCGTAAAAAAATTTATAAAGAAAAAGTATTGAAATAACTGTTTTAATTTACTAACCTATATTTCTCAATTGACAGTACATAAATTAGGCATATGAGGGGGATTATTGTGAATAAGCTGTATTGCACTATTCTTCACTATTTCATATTACGATGGAATTATTGCATTTCAAAGTTATTTTTCATGAATTAAGTTTGCTCCATTCATCATTTTTTTATTTTTCAAAGAGAAAATTTCATACTTTAAATAAAAAATACACGAGAAGATACTTTATGCAAAATTTGGCATAAACAGTTTTCTTAATTTTGCTTTGAAAATATTCCAGGGCAATCGCTTTCATTATTGGAAGAAATATGAAAAACAGACATTTAACTACATTGTAAGTGTCAACACCCAGTATGATCTTATTCTTTGAAAACGTGAAAAGATTACTCTTTCTAAAATAAAGATTAGAAAATATATTATGTGCAAATAGACTATTCGTTGAAAATGAAATAGACTTCAACCTTTGGATATAACTATGGATTTTAGACAAATTTCTGCCTATGAAAGGAAATTGACGTATAATTCTTCATAAACATTTAAAACTGTACTGAAAAATACTTTTGATGATTGCATGTAAAGGTCACAAATTTTTTTTCTTCTGCTAACATAAACAAAAGCCAATTTTACAAAGAAAAATTACAACTCTCGTTAAAGATATACCTCCCTTGTCCTGATAGTCCAATGTAATATTTGTCAAAAGTAAGTTAAATGATGAAACGCAACCAATGTATCTCTAATTTTCTTTTTATATTATAATAACAAAATTATCGAAAAAAAGCAGATTTAAAGCTCTGCTGTTGTTATGTAAAGCTTTATTCTTGCTGTAAGTTCATCTCAAAATCTAGTTGTATAGAATCTCATTCTAATCATCTAATAGTAATAAATATTATTAATGAATATTTCATTAAATTAGTCATTACCATTATTTTGTTAATGAAATTATGTTATTAAAAATCTCATTCCATCTTGCAGACTTACACAGCTAGTTCGTATTTATTATATTTTGTAAAATTTTGTTTTTGTTTTCTAATTTCTAATACAAAAATGTGTGAATATAAATGAAGTGTGAAAACAAAGTTATAAAATTCACAAATTATTACCGAGATCGATCAGAAATAGTAAATGAAATATAAACATTGTATACGTTTTGTTCTAAATAGACCTTCATTTAGATGAAAGCAAAATAAGTATTAAAAAAAAAAAAAAAAAACCAAAACCCACAAATCTAGCAACCCATTACTTTGGAATTGCGTCCAACAAACATGTAAATTTTACTGCATCCATGGAGGGACTAACGACTTTTCTCATTAGGAAAATGTCAAAGAGGGGGCAAAAGTGTTTTGAACCGCGCCGGTCTGAAGGCTATATTATGAGAATTTCGGCCCGGTTTTAGAAGGTCAAGTGACATTTTTACAAAAATCAATGAATTAAATTTAACCCTTCATAAATAAATATATTTAATGGTCACCAAGGTTCGTACACAATTCTGCACACTGAAATTAAGTACTTTTAAGGACCCTTAATGTAAAAAATTAAGGATTTATGAGCAAATGTGAAATGAATAAATTCAATTAAAAATATTATGTATGCCTGAATTTCACTTACCATTCTGAAAGTAAAATAGATCCCTAAGAAGTGGGCATTATTACTAAACATGAACTAATGAGAACATAATTATAATTAAGTTTGAAAATAAAATAAACTTTATGCAATTTATCAAGTAGCATTAAGTATTTTACACTTATAATAGTTGGTCATATTAGAAAGAAGATAAGTGGCATTTACGTTTTACTAACAGTTAGCTTTATGTTGATTTTTTTTTTTATGTCTCATTTTGTCACATACTTGGTCAGTGTAGTGGTTTAGTAAATAAGTAAGTAGATTTTATGCCAAACTGCATAGGTTAAAATGAGAAGTAAGACCATAAACAGCATGATTCATAACAAAAGACTGAATGTTGTCACCGCTGCTGCTTGTCTAGAGAGAGAACTGCTGATTAGAACAAACCTGAAATGCCTGATATAGGCAAGCGTTGAAAGTTAGTTTGATGCAGTTAGTGTCATAGCTTTGTGTACAGTTTCATGGGTTGTAAACCAGTTAAGTCTCAGTAGATGCATAGAATATGTTTTACTTGAATTTTTACATTTTTATATTTTATCTTGTGAACACAGTGAGTATTAATGAAAGGCAATAACTCACTTTAATATGTAAAAGATAATTTTTAAGGGTAAGCAGTTAGTTATAAATAATTAAATTAGGTAGTTTGAAACCTTAGTCATTGTGGATTTACATGACCACTATTAAATTTTATTTTTTAACAATATTTGTTAAAAAAGCCCTATTAAAATCAAAATCTAATAAAATTTCACAGTTTAAAATACATGTACATGACACAGATTCTTAAACAATATTAAGATAATTAAACATTAATTAAGACATTAAGATAACAACAACAGTCAACAAAATATTTATCAGTCATTTTAATTTGAAGCCTTCCCAGACATTTTGGCTAGTTTATATTGATTTCCTTCTCTTTTAACGATCTTTTCTAACAATTAGGGATTTGTCTGAATACGCAAACCAATGCTCTCGCTATTTTCTGCGTGCTTTATCTCCTAACTTGTCGACCTCTCCACAATGTACCTATGAGGGTTTAATTGATCAGGTAAAAGTTAAATAGTCCAAAACCCCGACAGATGTGAAGCATATTATCACTATGTCTGAAATTAACTGCAATATGAGACAAAGGTTTAAAAAAGCCTTTTATTTAAAAAGAACTTAGAACATAAAGGCATGCTCTGATGCTAACAAAATCAATTACAGCTCACGGTCATGTAATTAAACATGAACAGTCAAATTCAAATAATGTGGATTAGTGGTCAAAGATTATACAATTTATTTTTAATTTAATCTGGCTCAATAACTCTTTCATATGAGGAAATAGAAATGGAAAATTATAGTAAAGGTTGAAATCATAAACAATTGGGAAATTTACGTAATAATAACTGCACATATCTTTGAAGAATAATTTTCTGTATGTACTCAATTTCTTTCTTAAACACAGTTCCTTTTCATTTTAAAATTTTTGGATTTAATTAAGAATTTCTGTTATTCTAATGCAAAAGTCTAGAAAAAGTGGCTAATTTTATATCTTTAGTAATATGAACATTCAGAAGAAATACGAAATGCATATGGTAAAGGCCGGCTGCAGAGCTGCTGTGGCAGAATTTTTAGAATTTAGTGACCACACCGAACAACAAGTCTAGAAATGTCAAAACTTTTAAAATTTAGAGCAAGCATTTGAAGCACAATTTAGAAAGGCAATAGGCAGCAAAATTTAGGATCCACAGAGATTGCTTCAGGTGCGAAAATGCCTAGTGCCAGCTTTCTGTATGATGCATTAAGACATCTTAGGTGAATCTTTTAAGGTGTTAAGTTTTCAATTTCTTTATTAATAAAAAAATTCCTTTCTATAATGCCTGCCCATTTGATAAGATTAGAAGCATTTTTTAATATCTTCCATGCTTGTGTCTAGTGAAAATTACAGAAAATAAGAGAAGATAAACATGTTAAGATTCTAGTATCAGAAGTAAAACATTCAAATATTATGTTTTCATTGTTCTTCCAGATGTTTTCCAAAAAGTAAGAAATTCATTGCAAACATTCTGCAAAATGCATCCATTACATGCTGATACCATGGAGACGTTTTTCATTTTGTCATATATTTCTCAAATCTTCTAGAATCGTCGGTCTATAAATCTTGCCTTCAAATCCTTCTAAACTTTCCAAGCTGCAATGTCTAAAAATACTAAAGAAAAATTATCCCTACCATTTCTGTAACAGCAAAAGCCAGAAATGTTTTCGGAAAAAAAAAAAGGGAGGTACAAACGTGTTGTAAAAATTAATTTTATAGAGAAAACTGATTCATATTCTGAAAATTTTGAATATTCTGAGACAATTACATGGAAAAAAAAAAACTCTTACTGTGAAAAAAATTTAAAAAAAGACATTTTATTTTGCTTTTGCTAAGAGCTGTTTCGTAAATTGTGCTTTATAGCATCATAGCTTGTTTATTTTTCAGATTCAAAATATTGTATAATAAGTTGCCAAAATGAAACATTATAATATGTCAGCAAAAAATAAAAATGTTTTATTTTAATGTTATTTTTTAAATATAATTTCAATATATTATTACCATTATTTTAATGAAATTTATCAATGTTACGATGTTTTAAAAAAAATCGTCGAAAAATTCTCAGATCTTGGAATTAAAACATTTCTATAGAAACTAATTTTAAAATTGCCAAAATGTTGAAAAGTCGCCAAATTTAAAACCATTTAATAAAAGAATTCACATGCCCGAAAGCGAAAAGTTGTTCAAGAGCTCTGTGCTAGAAAAAATGAATTTCGAAATGCTTATGTTTAACTTCTTGCTTAGAAACTCGAGTATCTGATCATTTGTATTAGAAATAGAAACAAATTATAACTCATGTACCCATTAAAAAGATAAACATATATGCGGCAGTGAATCGCCAAAAATATTTCTCAAAATGCTAATTCACACTCAAAATGAGTCGTAAAAACAAACAGAAATTTCAGATGATTAAAATTAAGGACATTCTGCTGATTTTGGCCAAAATTAAGGACTTTTAAGGACCAAAAATTGATTCCAAAAAATCTAAGGACTCTTAAGGACCGTAGGAACCCTATTCACAAAAAAAGTTTCAGGAAAAGATTGGACAATTTGTGTACACTCCAGTGACTTTGATTACTTCCCAACAATAAAAGGCTTTTCATTCAAAAGAAGGAGTTGAAACAAGGGACACACTTATCGAAGAAATTATTCAGCATCTGAAAGGTTTAAGTGAAGTTTTTAATTAATATTTTCCAAACGAATAATGGCCCACCAGTGGCCGAGCGAAAATTCACTGAACACTGGTACTTGGTCCAGAGTTGAAATCATGATGAATAGGCTGGTTGCATGGGCGCCTTCGTGGTTTTGTTTCGTTAGTAATGTATATACGAACCAGTTTCCCTTGCAAAGTCCTCCACAAAGGCAGCCTTCTTTGCCAAAATCAAATAAACCAAACCAACCAAAGGAATAACAAGATGAATTGCAGGTGACAAACAACCCATTTATTGTCAATGCATGACCTTCGACCATGTCAGTAGCAGAATACAAAAATTTTATGACATGACATGCAAGAAAAATTTAAATTAATGCCATTAGTGGAATTCTGGGTGCAGTTTAAAAGATGAATATCCTCAGCTGTCACAAAAGGTCATGTTGACATTTTTACCATTTGCAACTACAAGATGTGTGGTGTAGGATTTTCAGCTTTTTGAATGTGTTACTTTAAGAACTTTTAGATTAGTTTTGAAATTACTTTTTGAAGCAATCTTTATTGGATGAATATTTTAATAAATAATAACTGTTTTTGAAATAATTAAACAAGGTTTCTACATACTTTTCCCCTTCATATATAAAATCTATTTCCAGTATTTTAAAGTTTTATTCGCTTACAATGCTTCAGGACATTAAGTAGCAGATATTTATAATCTATAATTAAATTAACATAACACGATTGATATATCTCACTTCTATTTCAGCATTTTTTTAACAAACTCCAAGTGTCTTAAATAGGGTAAATCCATTACGTGAATCAATAATCACCATCAACAACAGACATCTTCTATAACTATTTGGGATCATGACTGATTGTCTTAGAATTCACTATATTTTACTCTAAGAAAATAAACCACATGTCAAATAACAGTAGCGAATAAACAGCCACATGCCAAGGGGTGTAATAATTGACTATTGATATTTCGTAAATTAACTTCAAACATTCAGTATTTAAGTTTTTAAGATATTACCAACAATGAAGATAATGCAATATAAAATTTCTAATTAACATTTCCAAAATGTAATGTTCCACTTAGCAAGAGAAAAATACACTGAAGAATAATTCAAAAGCAAAGTGAAAATGAATTACTATCACTTGTATATAAACCTTTAAAAAAAAGGGGGGGCACGGTTATTTTTGAATGACATAATTAACTTTAATAAAAACATATACAAAGCTCAAATTACTTACTTTTACTCGCAAAGCATTTCTCATCATTCTCGTATTAGGAAAATCTATTACACCATATTTAGAATATGATACTGTAGACTTTTTTAAAAGAATTCCCACAAAATAACCAACTTCATTTCCAAACAAACAATGATAATCAGTCAGATGAGTTAAAAAGTACGCTGCTGATTCAGGAATAACTTCTTGTAAGAACACAATATCAGCCTGCTCACTGAAAAGAAAAGTGCAAATATTATGAATAACCACTAGCATGTCAGAAAAAATTCCTTTATGCTGCTATAAATCATCTTAAAACAAATATGTGTCATTCTATAAATCTTTTTGGGAGAAATATGATTAACACAAATTTTAAGCCACTTTGAAGAGCAACGGCATATTTGAAATCTAAATCTATAAGTAGCATGTGCTATATTGGAAGAGTCAAAACGACTTTAAACCCCCAACATGTAAAAGAACTTTAAAAAAAAAAAAAAAAAAAATCATGTGTACACCACATGATTTCTTTGTACGGAATATTAAATTATACGCATTTTTCTTGCATTTAATTTAAATTTATTGCATTGAATTAAATCTACTTGGTCGATAGCGCATAAACCACAATAGAATAATTTTCTTTTCACAAATTTTCTTTGGTTATGTTACTTTATTAATTTTTGTTACTTGAATGGACAATAAATAACAGTAGAATTGTTAGCAGATTCTGTCTTTTCAACCTACCTTCTGAGTAAATGGAGTCATATGGAAGGGATATGCTTTCAATTGCCATTACAGAACTACTATTTAGCATTCTTACCATTCGACCACTGGCGGATTTGCAGGGGGAAAAAAAATATCATGTAAAATTGACTGCAAATATCATTTCCAAGTATATGACATATAAAGCTTATAAAATGATTCCTTTCCTCGATTTTAAAATTAGAATGATTATAAGATATTGATCAGGCAATTTTCTGCAATACTGACAGAAGCTATTTCATCAGTCAAATGAATTTGTATTTCTAAGCAAAATAATGACAGAATACTATCGTATTCCAACAAATTAATTAAACTTTCATTCCCAAAGCCTCAACCATATAATCAGCATAAACACATGGCATTATGGAGGCACAGATTGAAAGCTGATCTCTGCCACTGTAATGCCAAGTATCCAAAACAGAATACAGTTCTCTTGTGAATCTGACTTAATGTGGACTGAGAGGATGTTGAGTTACTGAAAAAGTTGAGTTTTATGGAAGAAAGGATGGGTTATTGACAACTCATAATATTTCATTCAACACCTAAACCAAAAATACTTTTACTAATACTTTGCCCCTTCCTCAGTTATTTAGGCAAGCCAATCTGTTTCCTTTTCTTCTTGTCTAACAAGTTCATTTGCACAGACAACACAATATTTGTAAAGGCAGATATAAACTAGAAACTCTACAAAGAATGAACTGAAAGTTTAACTGACAGTAGGATACAACCATAAATTTGCTAATGCGGGTGGGTAATCAAATGACAGAAATTATCTGACAGTCATTTTGTTATCAACAGGAGGAATGGGGTAGACTAGAATTTCCACAAAAAGAACAAAACCTCTCACAATATTCATTATACAGGATCCAAAAAATAGTGTCACAAAGAGGATGAAATAAAAATTGCAAAATTAGAAAAAGAGAGCTTTGAACAAAATAGGAAAACCTGTAGACATTCATACACACAAATATGTACAGTAATTACAATAATAAGTAATCAAAATGTACCTGTTAACACAATATCAGCAATGCTAAAAATTATTACACTCTGGCTTTTAATAATCCACATTATTTCAAAAACAATGCTGTGCTTGACAGCAGATTTTAGTGACTAAGGGGGGAAAAAAAATCACTGAGTTATAGGAAATGTAAAGTAACAAGTCAAGTTTACGGGAATCTGCTGTATCTTAATACTCTGACTCTTTGCCTCATAAGAGTTATACACTGCCTTTTGGTTGTGTACAAAAAATGCAGTTCTAAACTTTTAATCACAAAAAATTTATTAAAATTCAATTATCAATTATTAGATGCATTTTTCTTCTAACACAGCTCACATGTTAGCTTTTCCAAAAGTTTCTATTATTCGCAGTTTGTATTCACAAAATTACAATACTCCTTAAATGTTTTTAATCATATGTAACATGACTAGAAAAAGAAATGCTGTGCAACAAATTATCCCCCCCCCTAAAACTGGCAATTCATTGGCAATTTTGCTGAATTGGCAATAAATGACGTTTGTTAGCAATAAACTTTCACTACAGTTCATAGATATTGTTCTGTTCATACATAATAACAGAAACAAGCATTTTATAATAAATTAGAAATTTTATGAAGAAAACAATGATCTTTATAGTAAATATTTACATTGTTATCCATTCAGCAAAATCATAGATAAATTCAAAGCATGCAAGTCAAACATGGAATGGAAGAAGATTTGCCTCCTGAAATCAAGGACCAAGACAATGTTGATTACCTCTTTTGACCACTAAAGTATCATTCATATAGAATGACTGACTGAGGGTCCAATAATCATTTGTCCCTTCTAATGTGATGTTCTTGATCTAAAATTGAAGTCCTTTGTACAGCAATGGATCTCCACCATATTTCCCAGATTTACATACTACTGACTTCTTTATATTGCCTAAACTCAAACTGATACTGAAGTAGCAGCATTTCAGGACTCTTCAGAATATCCAGAAATTTATGATCGCACAACTTAAATACATTCCAGAGATTGTATTATTTCACGCATTGTATTATTCACGCATTATTTCCAGAGATTGTATTATTTCACGCATATCATACATGCATGTAAAGATACTCGAAAATATGCTAAAATCTGACAATTCTATTCAGTGCTTAAACCTGGGATGTGGATAATAAGGAACAAAAAATTTTCAATTGTAATTTAATGTAGTGTTACTGAATGTTAATTGATAATTATACTACTACTTCGTTTCAAACAATAAAAAAAGGGGAATCTTATAAAATAAAAGATTTGACAATTAAGCTCCAGAGCTGATAAAAAATTAGTCAGATTATAACTATGATATTCCTCTTTTGCTTGATAGGTGAATATTTAATAAAGTGAACAAACACCTTACAGCCTTCTAAACATCAGTCATCAAAGGCACCTTTTTTTCCATTTCCAGGAATTTCCAGCATCCCACACTGAAACATAAAATTAACACCAAGTTATACAGTAAAGTTAGAAAAATTAGCTACAGAGACTTACAAAATTTCTCAGTCTTGTGCTTGGATTTTATGCCCGATTTTTAAGATGGATGTGAAGACATCTGTAATGACCTAAGAAGTGAATATCTACCAACCAGATTTTTGGGGGAGACTGCTAAGTGTGGTCATGATCTGCTCTTGTCACATAGCCACATAATAGAAGATGTGTGTGAAGATATCAACTGTGAAACAATATGGAAGATAATGACAGAAGATCCAAGGAAAATGATAATTTATGGAAGGCTTGTGTTCACTTTTTGATTGAACAGCAAAAACAAAATCTGGCACTTTCACTATAAACCATCAACAGAAAGTCAAACATGGAATGGAAGAAGATTTGCCTCCTGAAATCAAGGACCAAGACAATGTTGATTACCTCTTTTGACCACTAAAGTATCATTCATATAGAATGACTGACTGAGGGTCCAATAATCATTTGTCCCTTCTAATGTGATGTTCTTGATCTAAAATTGAAGTCCTTTGTACAGCAATGGATCTCCACCATATTTCCCAGATTTACATACTACTGACTTCTTTATATTGCCTAAACTCAAACTGATACTGAAGTAGCAGCATTTCAGGACTCTTCAGAATATCCAGAAATTTATGATCGCACAACTTAAATACATTCCAGAGATTGTCTTCAAAACCAGTTTTGGAGACTACTTGAAGTCGGCAAAGATATACATCAAATATGAGAGACAATACTTTTTGACAAATCCTCAACATGGCTTGCTGCAGTGACTTTAACTTGCCAGGTATCAGCAAGTCTTGGAACTTTATTGTCAAACCTTGTATAAATGTAGCCAGTACTCAGATTGCCAGATGATATAAATATAAGTATTACAAAAAAAAAAAAAAAAAAAAAGAAAGAAAAGAAAAGGGGGGGAAGAGAGAGAGAAGAAGAATATTGTATATTTCCATGCATAAGCCAAGAATTTTTGGAACTTTATCTGAAGCTAAATTATGGGGGTCAGCCTATAAACAGGTCGACTAATCTCACAAAAAACATAGGTACTTTTTCGTTAGCTGAGTGTAAGCCATATATCACTAAATAATGAAATTTATTTCTTAAGTTTATGGAAAAATTAATTTTAAATGAAATGAGTTATTTGTTTTATGCAAATTAGTTGTTTTATTTTTGAAATTATTCATAATGTTGGTTTATTGCATTGTTTCCAAAAAGAAAGGTCTTGTGCTACTGAAATTTGTGCCTGGCTTTCTCGACTCTTGAATTTTTTTTCATTTATAAAGAAATGCCAAGAAACGATTCTGTTGTAGGAATTTTCAGCAAATGCAATTATCTACAGTTTGAAATTTGCTGCATATGAATTTCTCTTCCCATTCCTTTTCTAGGTAAAATATAAAATGGCAAAGATATTAACACACACAAGGGCACCACAGATTATTTACATGACAGCAAATGAATGAGAAAAAAGTGTTAGCTTTAAATAGAGTTACCAGCATTAAAACTTATTATCATTGGCACCTAGCATTTTATTTTACAGCAATTTGATTGGAAAACATTTCAACTGTTTTACCTGCTTGGCAACATTTTCACTCTTATGGTGACATATCTGAAGGCTGAAGGAGTTATTTTTCTCATTTTGTCTTATAATAATTTTGGATAAATTTTTAAAGAAAAAACACACTCTAGGCTTATACATTATGGATCAATTTATATTTGGAAATCTATGGTACTTAAAAAGTAAATAAATAAAAATTAAAAACTCACTTTAAAATATTCTTATAAATTGCCTTGGTTCTTAATTTTAGATTTTTCTCATTAAGTCCATCTATATTCCATGTTATGAACTTTAATTTATTGGATGAAACTTGATTTGCAGGTTCTGCACTTGACACATCACTTAATGCAGATTCTGTAATAAGTGCTGTGGCTGCTGCGGCAAGACTTCGATCACTACCACTGGAAAAAAAACAGAGTTTAAGCATCATTTGCTTCATTTATTTCTCACTAAATAAATAAGTTAATTAAATTAAAATAAAAATTAAATAAAATAAAAAATTCTGAAAGCTTTCAGATTTTACATTACACCCAAAGGGACATTTTTTTAAACGTTTTGTGTGTTACCTTTATTTATTAAATATCATGTTCTTTACACTAAAACCATAAAATTCAATTCAAGACCAATATTACAAAATAATTTTAAAATTACCATATCTTTAGAATTTCCAATACAAAGTCTCGCATGCTGGGGAAAAAATGTTCCCTCTTCATACACTGTTGCCATTCCTCTTTGAAATCGTAGAGTTTGTTAATTAAAAAAAACTGAAAGCTTTTAGATTTTATACTACGCCCAAAGGGGCTTTTTTTACAGTTTTGTGTGTTTTTATTAATTAAATATTATGTTCTTCACACTTAAAAACCATAAAATTCAATTCAACAGCAATATCACAAAATATTTAAAAAGAGCATAGCTTTAGAATGTCTGATACACAGTCTTGCTCGCTGGATATAATTTTTTTTTTTTTTTCATACAGTGTTGTTATTGCTTGCTTTGAAATAGTTGAGTTTCTAAATCAAAACTCATAAATGTTTTACAAAATATGAAATAGATAATAAAACAAATTCCAAATTTTTGCTTCCAGAGGCCCATATTTGAGTGGAGATGTACGTTATTCAAAATTTGATGGCTCTAGGTATCGTTGTTTTATTCCAATGCTAGAAACATACACACATTTATGCAGATTCTTCTTTATTTAATTTCTTTAAATATAATACCGGGCTCTAATATTTGTTGGCAACAATTTAAAGTGATTCGCCGTCAATAGTGAATCAACGCAAAATGCCCAAATGAAATTAATAGCCCTTCTGGGCAAATTGCCCCTTTGGGCTAATGACATAACAACAAGGCAAAGTTGACTTTACAGGCATAAAACCTGTAACTGCAGCAATTAAACTTCAGTTTATTCTAGAATATACTCTAACTACCATTACACTGCACCTGACCAAATAACAGTTATAATATCAACAAATAATACCGGCACAATAAATAGAAAAGAAAATATCAAATTATAGCAAAATAATAGATAATCTATGAATTCAGATATTACTGAAAATCAATAATAAAAATCATAGAAGAATATTAATATTAGAGAAATGAATACTTTTACATATAAAATAGATAAAAAGAAAAATTTTTAAACATCAGTAATTATATTTACAGATAATTAATTATAATTATAAATAGATACATTTTATTTATTTTTAAAGACAGATCTACTGAAATGACATAATGAAATTTTAAAAGGGGAGAAATCTTCCCGTGAAGTGCAAATATAACACAGAATAAATCAATTATATTAAAACTTTATTTAGCTAAACTTGAGTGAAATGGGCCTGAATCAAGAGAATCCAGAAATCAATAATTTCCAATTTTTCTTGTTAAACAACTAGCATTTCATAAAAAGATAAAGTGCATCATGAGTAAACTAGAAACTCAGGGCACGGAACTCTGTAATACAGTTTACTTCCCCACAAATCTAAGCCGCAGTACTTTACCTCTTCAGTAGCATGCACCCAAGATTCTCGTAAACACATTAAAGTTCAGCTTATAACTAAGCCATGCCTATGTAGTTATGCAAAATTCTGCAAGCCAATATTATTTGGATTTTATATTTTCCCCATGGTTACATAGTATGCTTCTTATTTAGGTCGTTATACCTTTTTGTGTAGCGCTAACCTGCTCAGGGTAGTGTTAAATATTTTAACCTTTTAATTGATTGTATGGAATATGTCTTTGTAACTCAGCATATGTATGCAAATTCCAGTGTATTTTAGTGTATCAATATGAGTGATATAATAACTTAAGGATTCGACCAGTCTTATGTATACAGTCAAAAGTCGTTAATCCGGACTCATCGGGACTTCGGCGATTCCGGATTATAGATCATCAGTTTAAATCTGGTAAGATGGCATGCAGAAAAGAAAATTACAAAAAATTAAAAAATATGAAACCGTAATTTATGAAATAAAGAAATTATGATCTAAAGGGTATCAAAATTTACAAAAAGAAAAAACTTAACATTTTTTTGTTTACTTTATTAAACATTTCTTTCAATGTAAGTTGCTTCGTTTCATATGATAATACTTTCTCTTTAATTCTATTAAACAGACATAATTTCTTGTTTAGTTACAAAGTTCCGCTGTTCAAGTCCTATAATTGCTGTGTTGAGAATACCGACTAATTTGTCAACCGAAATGTTTTCGTTTTCAATAACCTCTGGGTCACTTTCTTCACTATCGGAAGCGAATTATAATGACGAGGAACTTGATTTAAATCATATCAAAGACGGAGTACATCAAGATGAAATACTACACTTAGTAAGGAATTATAAGCCAAATAAAATAAAAACATCTGCCCTGAAGATAAGGATAGTGCTGACAGATCAACTTCAAATCTGCTGTGTGAAATTGATAAACAGATTTCGGATTTCAAAACATACTTTCGCTTTGTGGATACAAATTACATATTAGTAAAATTATCGTATATCGAAAAACTCTATTTGACATAATCGAAATTAAACGCGCATGCGCACAAACATATTCGCAGCCGTAAAGGTCTTATGCGCACTCTTAAACGCCTGTGCGCATGCGTGAACGCGACGCATGCGCGGAAAGTTTGTAGCTTTGAGGTCCGGATTATAGATCATTCTGGATTATGGGTGTCCCAATTAACGACTTTTGACTGTATAATGTTTTACTTGCATATGCAAGTATGTTTCAATTTACCTTGAGCGCATTAACACGCCTCCTAACGAATGAATTGGTATAATTCAGTGAATCAACATCTGGTACATATTTAAATAAAATATCTCTAGCACAGCTGTATGTATAACGACCAAAGTATTTGGATTTACAATCTAACATGTATTCCCAATTTTCTCCAGCACTGTATTAGAATTTGCATGTCTCAGTATGCATAACAGTGAATCATATTTGTATATGTTAGATGCATTGGTGCTGTATTATTTGTTAGCATTAGTATCATAGTAAATCTTCATATTGCAATACATAAGCATGAAATACTTTGTATCAAGTTTAACTATCATTTAACTGTCAAGTAAATATGCCTGTATCTGCCCATTTACTACAAATAAATTTAAAAAAAAAAAAAAAAAAAAAAAAAAGGAAAAAAAAAGTACATTGTTTTATATTACACAATATAGTGCAACAAATTGCTTTGCCTTGCAAAATTCATAAAATTAATCTACAGATGCATTACTGTGACAGGTTAATTATAGTTCAAAGGGATCAACATTTATATCAAGCTACATGGAAAGTACCCTTTTGTTCTCGCTGACAATTTTAAGGAGGGTACTTGCCTTTCAGTAGAAAAGTCTGAATTTTCTTGCTGTCATCACAGAAACATTTGTCCCTCCAACACAAGAATAATTTTTTAAATTCTTCTGGAAATGGGCATCTAAGTCCATTAAAATCAACATGCCAGAACATTTTGGTAAATGGTCTATTCTGCTGCTTTCTGATTACCCATACCCCCCAAAAAAGTTATGAAAAATATTCACGAGGCAAAGTAGTATATCGCCAAAATAGCTATGTGTCAATCGACGATGCCACCAAAAAGCACCTATGAAGCAACTCAGGTATACATATAGCATATGTTTGCTTGGTTGCTGCAGAATACCAAAGCTGAACAGATGCCAAATTTGTGCAAATATTCAACTTTTTTTTTAAGAGAAAACATATTGCTGTGCATACAGAGAGAATTGTGAATAGAATTTTAACATAGAATACTCACTCTAAGACTACAACTTGAGCTTCCTTTTTATCATTCACCTGAACAGCTCCTTTATTATTCATATCTTCAAAAAAGTCATTTACAGATTGCTGCAAAGGAAATTTTTAAAATGTTTGTCAAAAAGCTTATCTATAAAACAAAATCTTCTGATACTAGACAGAAAACAACTCTGTGGAAGATATTTACTTTGGTTAGAATACAGTATTACAAAACATTCCACAAGTATCTATCTTCAAAGTAGACTATCCAAGAGAAACTGTCTCAAAATCATATATAGAAAAATCCCATGCAACCAACTCATTTAGTTGCTGTTAACCTGATATGAGACAAATTATTACTATCTAATAGTCTCATAAAATCAGCCACTGGTGTGCAAGATTTATGTCAATTCTCCTTAAATGTATAAAATTTCAATGCTAAAAATAAAATATTTTTTGTGAAGTCTTTCTAAATTATTTTGGTTATTATATTTGTCACTGCTTCACTCTTATCACAACAGTTACCTATGTGAGCTGCTAAGTTTTACCACTGCCACAAGACGTAACTCATCTTCCACATGATCTAAAATGTGTCCAGTTTCCAGTGTTACCAATTGAAGTGACATAAGATTATTAATTTATTATTTCAAACTGCACTTATATTGCTTAAAACACTGAACAATTTAAAAGTGACATATAATTTCTAATAATTTAAATAAATTTTACTGGTAAAATTTAAAATATTTAAAACAATGTACTCTTGATTATTAGTGCATAGCCGTGCCCACACATGCATACCTGATGCTATGCACGAGAATATGTAAAAAAACAAACATGCAAAAAATTTAACCCAAATGTTACCAGTTTAATTCAGCCGATGGGTAAGGTGTAATATCATAGGTGAAACTACTTTAACATTCTACTCTTCTTCTGAATCCAGCTGAGGAAGATGGCAATTAAATGAAGTTCTGTGTACTGGATGACATATGGCCCATTTTCAAATTTTGCTTCCGTATACTGTCTCGGAGGAAAAGAAAGAAAATTCAAGCATAAATTAAAATTTAAAGTTTGATTTGATCAATGCTTCGCACAGACTTTAAATCTACTTCTGCAATTAAAAATATTAAAAAATCAATTGAAATTTTTGGAGATATAAATTTAAAAAAATTGGATTGTAGGGAAAAAAAATGTCTGCCCTTTTCAAATTTACGTAATTTAAACTCTTTGTTTTGTAACCTAATTTAATTTTTTTCAAATAAAGAAGTTTAATTATGGAACTACTCTTATATGCACCCTCAAGTCGCCAAACATTTTGGGCAAGAAACTCCATGCTGCCATATTACTACCTAAATTTTTTGTCTACATTTCAAACTTTAAGCATAAAAAGTGTCTCCAAAAGCGCGGTTTTTGCATATGCAAACACCACATTTTAAAAACACAATTTAAGCTAAAAATCCGAAACAAAAACAAAAAAGTTATATAGCAAAAACAAAGTTTCTAACCAAAAATATTTGACAAGTATCCATGTACACAGTGATATGTTTCAACTTTAAAAAACATCTACGAATTGCACAATTTAGGCAGTACGCACTAATCGACAAAATAAACTAAAATAAATTTCGAACAATCCAAAAAAAACAACAATAACAACAGAAATTCATACTAAAAAGACAATGAACATAACATTCTACAAAATAAGAATAAGAGTAAAATAAAATACACTTACCATGAATGAATGCTTTTTCGAATAGCAGAAATACCAATTTCATACCACCTTTAACATGCTGCCACCTAATCACTAGCCTATTTATATGACAGCCAGACACATTATCCAGAAAATTCATAATATGGTTCAAAAGTAAATGTTCAAAACCTTCTTTTCCTAAATCCTTTCCATCCATCCGAAAAAATAGTTTAGGGTATCTAGGCTCAATCTACTCTTTAATATACTGCATCAGCGTTTCCCTACTTCTATCATGCACAGCCACTAAAAATAATCTTCCAGACCCTCTTTCCACACCTCCAAATACCCACTGCCCTTCAACAGGACGGCCATGATGATATTTCCTTTTGCCGAACTTTGATTCATCAACTTCCACTACTTTATCTTTCCCCCCAATCTTCTCAGATACAGAGTAGACTCGTTAACAACTCCAACATTGTACCTTTTAATACAAAATTTTCTTTGTACACAATCTAAAATATGAGACTGAAATCTTGCCACCATGTCTCTCATTTCAACATAGGCCATTTCAAAACCCGCACAACACGAACCAACAAGCAATTAAACCACTCCATCACAAGATTTTTCAATGTCAACAGGGTTGCCATACAACATGCAATCGTGCCAAAAACCAGCGCAGAACACATATCGCCACACTTGGTGATATTAGGGCGCATATAAGAGTAGAGCTTTAATTATTTTAGATATGAACTATTAGTGAGTTACATTCATGACAAAAATTAATTACCAAGTTTTTTCTTTAGCAAATCAATAATTTGTCTTTCACTCTGTGTCAAGTGAGATTATTTTATCCACAATTACTAGCTAAAGTAGTCAAAGCAACTATTTCTAGCAATTTTTCCCTCTTCATTTGAAAAGTATTGCAGTGGTTGCAATAATCAACTTTCTTCAAGTTAGTACTTTTTTTTTTTCAAGTCTGTTACCACAATTTTTAATATTAAAATAGTACTTTTCACTTTTAGATTTAAATATTATTTATTGGATAATTTTAGAAGACATTTGTATTATTATTAAAATTTCAAATTATGCAAGACAGTTTTTTTTTTTTTTAATGCTTTGAAATGAATGTCAAATTCATTACTTGTCAAATCTGTTGCTACGTTACTGATAACAGATTTGACTTACGATAACAAACTTGTTATTATTTTTTAACTGTGATTAATAAATGTTATTTTAGCATCCAGGATAGCTTTAACACCCACAGAAAAGCTAAAGCTGAGATGCTATGAAAAAGGTTAAAACAAAATGCAGAAATATATAAACAAGACATAAACAAAGATAAAGAAACGCAATTTTTTTTATGATATTTACATCTCTTATGAAAACCTAATGAACAAAATAACTTAATAATGTTGATAAATTCATACTTATTTTGTATACAAGTTATTTAAAAAGTTCTTTCTCTTCTTAAGGAAAAATATAACAGGCAAAAAAATCAGTGACTCAGCGAAAGTTTAGAGGTATCAAAGGAAGAACTGGCATTAAAATCAAGCTGAATGTTGCTTGCAGGAAGTTCAATAGATAGTCGTAGAAACAATTCCATTTCAAAATGAACAGATTGGATCTAATTCTTTAAATGAAAATGCAGAATTTTTTTGGGGAGTGAAAAAAGAGGACACAAGAATGCTTATAGAAATCAAAGAAAACTTGCTAAAGGTAACTTGAAGTTGCAGCAGGATAATAATAATATAAAAGTCAGGTCCAGATGTGCAAGAAAAGGTGGCAAAGGCAAAATATAGCATTAAAAATGAAAGAGCCAAAAATCAAGTGCCAGACGAGCAATTAACTCCAAAAACCAAACCATAATTATAATAGAAAAGCATTTTAAAGGAAAAATAACCAGAAATCACCCAGTTGCAAGTCAACTATTTTTTGCACAATGTTTTCAAACCTACATGTAATAGAAAGAACTTCACTTCAAAGCATAAATTTATTAATTTTTTTTAATGTAAGGATATTAGTACGGCTATAGCAGGCAAAAAGAAACGATAACACAAAAGAAAGAGAAATGACAGAAATAGTATTTGATTGATACAATGCAAAGTCAATACATAAAATTTTGTAATGAAAATTCCAATTTTTTAGTATCTTGTACAACATTAACTATATTTCACCCTTACACCTAGTGTTGAGAACATGGAATAAATGCAGATGCATTGTATAAATTTTAATTCAAAAGCGCAGAAGTTGATTAATTTAAAGGCATTACATACAAATGACCCTAATGTCATTCATTATATTCACCTATAGTGTGCAAAGTAAAATCCCTGGACTCTATGTATAATAACTGCACAATAAAAGAGTGACAGTAAATGTGCAAAACATATCATTCACTGGTATTCATGGGAAAGAGAGAAAAAATTGTTAGAATTAAATGAAGCTCTTCTACATATTTATTTATAAAATTATGACTGCAAATTCAGTGAAGAAGTGTAAAGTTTTCACTATAGTGCATTTACGAGTTCAGGTAGCTCACCTTCATATATGTGTCCTATATATTGGAAGAACAGTATACTTGTTTTCAGTTGTTAATGAAGGTTAGAGTATTTTTCACCTTAGCTTTATTGAGTTTAAAATAAATAATGTTGATAAAAATTTGAATAAAGTGGTCCTTTCACCAGTATTGCAGAGAGCGAACTGATCCATCCATCCATTTTGCTATGGCCGGTGTGCAGCTAGTGAATGCCGCTTTACCGGCTCCTGATATGTGGTGGCACCTGAAATCAGTAGTTCTTATAGTTAGGTGGTGGTGACTAAAGGTCAGGAGAAAAGGGGGTGACCCTGCGTCACAGAATGGGAACCAGACTTATTGGAAAACGCGGTGGTGGGAAAGCATTCTCTTTTCCTAATAATTTCCTAATTATAGAAGATTGAGGAGAAATACATAATATAAAAATTTGCGTAAATTGATAAATTAGTGAGTAAACATAAATACTTGCGTGAAGTAATTCTGGAATATATAAAGATAAAACATGCATAAGATATAAAATCCTGAAATAAAGAAAATTAAGTATAATACATATGTACAATATAATTAAAGGTAATACATGGCAAATAATAAATTATAAAAAGCTGGAGTAAATGCAAAATCTGGATTAATATAAAGTGAAAACAATTGCAAAATATATACAGATATGTACAGAAATGTCAAGTCGGGAAATTTTGGTTGAACTGATGGGCCGCCCAGGGCCTCAGGTCTCTATCTTCTGGCAAGGGAGCGTAGTTAAAAACTTGAAATTGGTTCATAAAGGGACAATTAAGAGCCTTATTGAAAAATTTTTCATTTGTCTTCAAAATGAAATCTTTGATGAAGTCTATCTTTAAGGTCCTTATGCAGGGTGGCATTTGAAACGTAGAAATGCGCATTCGTGATAAGTCTTAAAAACTTGTTTTGTATTACTTGGAGTTGTTTAATTTCCTTATCTTTGATAGCAGCCCAGGCAGGCGACGCATAACAAAGGGTGGGCCTGATGATAGCTGTATATATATGTTTTTTGCTTTTGAGATTTAGCTCGGAGTATTTTCCCAGTAGAGGCATGAGGCTTTTCATGTTGCCGTAGGCCCTGCCTTTAATTATTTTGATGTGGTCAGTCCAGGTAAGTCTATGATTAATGGTGATTCCAAGATATTTAGCTTTATTGATGATGGGTATATTTTTGTCAAAGAGTTTAAGATCGTTAGTGAGGATTTGATGCGTCTTTCTGTTTCTGCTGATAATGAGAAGCTGAGATTTCTCAGCATTAATAACAATACGCCATTAGTTTGCACCATTGTTCGATCAAAGGGCATCATAGTTTGAAGTTTTAATATTGCAGCATTGGGGCTAAGGGATTTTACTGCAAGAGCAGTATCATCCGCATAGCAGCCAAGGAATCTGTTTATTTCATGGTCAGGATTTGGGAAGTCGGATACATAAAAAAGATAAAGGATGGGTCCTAAAATAGAGCCTTGAGCAACAGAGGCACGGATGTATTTGAAACTTGAATTGTCTTGTCCAAAAGAAACGTAGAATTTTCTATTTTTGATGAAGGAATAAATTAGTTTGGTCATATCCGGTGAGAAGTTTAGCTTGATTAATTTGAAAATAAGCCCCTCATGCCAGACGCGGTCAAAAGCTTTGGCCACGTCAAGCATGAGTAATGCAACTTTCTGGTGGTTGTGAAGAGCACTGCCTATAAACTCAACTAATCGAACAAGTTGTTTCGTGGTGGATAATGTTTTTCTAAATCCAAACTGTTCAGGAGGAAGTCTGCTAATATATTGTTGCATTCTATTGAGAATAATTCTTTCAAGGATCTTGCCAAGTCCGGGCAGTAGGCTGATAGGTCGGTAGCCATCTGGAGAAGTGGTGTCTTTGCCTGGTTTAGGGAATGAGAATAATTTTAGCTATTTTCCAATTCATGGGGAAGTAGGACTTATCAGAGAAGCATTATAAATACTGATAAGCCTTGAGATAGTGCTGAGTGGTAGATTCTTAATTGCGATGTTATTGATTTCATCATAGCCTGGAGCTTTTCTATTTTTGAGACGTTTAATGATATCGATGACCTTCTTTCGGATTAGTAAAATCAGTATTGAGTTTTGCGGTGGGGCTATTGATATAATTTTGAACAAAGTATCTTACATCATATGTGAAGGTAGGGTCTGAAGGAGTTTTCATTTGGGAATAAATTGATTTTCAAAGTGCTCCGCCATAAGAGTAGCTTTTTCCTTGTTGGTTATTGCAATTTTGTCATCTTTTTTGATGGGCTTATTACAGGTGGGAGTAATTCTGAGGCGCTTTGGCAAAGCTCCAGAATTCATTTGTTCAAAATTTTATTTTGCCAAAGCTCAGTCTTGTAGTTAGTAATATTTTTCTTGATTAATCTGTTAATTTTATTGAGTTCGGATTTAATTTGAGGGTCCCAGGACCGGTTCCAGCGTTTCCTGAGCTTATTTCTATATTTAATCAGTGTTCTAATGCTATGGGGGAGAATCTCCTGGAATTTGTTTGCTGGAATCTTCTGTGTGGCAGAATTATAGGCATTCTTGATACTGTTAGTAAGCATATCAATGGCAACTTCGATATCATAAGTAGTTTTGAGGCCATTGAGCTTAGGTGGGTTATTTTCGAGAATTTCATAGAATCGTTTCCAGTCAGTTTTATTGATGGATTTT